GCATTCCCCACACACACACACACAACGGTCGCTCGGCCGTGCACCCCGGGTTCAAGGAGAATAGAGGTGGTGTCCTTAGCGGCCGGAGTTTTAAAAGTTTCCGGAGGTAAGAGAAACGCCGGGGATCCTGGCGACAATTCCCTATGCCGAGGGAGACTCGGTCCTACGAAAAGCAGCCGTCAAGAAGAAGACAGGCGAGAGTCAGGCCTGGGGCCCTGCGGTTCTGCGGCTGGAGGCTGGACCTCGCCGTTAGCATCCTTCCTGAAAGCTCGCGCACTCAGAGTTCGGAGAACCCGGAGGGAAACAAAACTGGAGGAAAACGAAAACTGAGCTTTCTCGGCGGGAAGCACAGCAGGAGTGACCCAGCAGGAGTGACCCACCCAAGGTCACCTCAGTGCCCCTCACCTGAAACACCCGCCCACTCCCGCCCACCCTGCGCCCCCAGCTTCCCCAACTCTCCTGGGCGTCAACCACAGCTGAAGAAATGCTAACACACGGAGCAGAGTTGGAAGGACGGGAACTATCGTCTATCAACTTTATCGTGGTTTGACGCCCCCAAAAGGAGCTCGCTCGGACACACAGCTGACCCTCAAAGCTCTGCTAGACAAACGTCGCTCTCGAGCAAGCCCACCCTAAGACTCGCACTCCTCCTCGCTGTCACACCATAGACAGAAAAAGTCTCCATTTTAGAGAGGAGGAAACTGAGGCCCGGGAAGCTACAGCCCCACGCAGCCAGTAGGTGGCGAAGCTGGCTCTCTATTAAACCCGAGTCCAGCGCCGTTTCTTTTCTGTCTGTCTAAGAAATGCCCCTAAGCTCTGTGGGTTGGCTCTGGTCCTCCCTCCCCGGGAGGTCACAGAAGTTCAGGAAATGCAAACAAGCTTCTCAGAAATCCAGATTAGGCAGAGGCGAGCACCTGTGCCCCGCGCCTACCCAGCCCGGCGGTGGGAAATTTGAGGGGAGGGATGCCCTCTGCAGGCTGCCGGTGGGCTGGAGAAGGTGGAGTACCTAGATTCCTAGGGCGCGGTGAACCATAAAACAGCCTTGCTAGGGCCCAACGCAGGTTCTGCCGAGACTACTCAGACGCCACCCCAAACCTCAGCTCCGCAGAGCGGAGCGCGCAAGACCTTTGGCAGCGCACTTCTGACCTCCGCCTACTTCCTAAAAAAGCAAAGGGAGAACAACGCCCGCGGGGTCATCCAGCTGGCGGCCTCGAGGGGTGCCACTGCGAGCCACGAGTCTCGTTCTGGGGTCGGTTTCTCCCACTTTGCATCCGCTCCGGACATGTGGTTGGGGGAAAAAAATTGCCAAGGAGTCTCAGGGGTCCGGCTGGAGGCAGGATGGAGTGGCTGTGACGACTCCTGGGAAGACCCCAGACGAGACTGACCCAAGCGATTTCCACACTTCAAAAGTCTGGTAAATAGGGACGCCCTGAAAACCGACACACGGGCCTTTTAGCCTTGGACGAGTTGCCTTTATCCTCACAGTGCGCTTTGCTCTAGCCCTGCCTGCACTCTGCCCTCTTCTTCACACTGGGTGTGGAGGGGTCCAGCAGCTTGGAATAAACCCAGCCTAGGTCCAGGCTAAGAGAATCAGTGAGACCCCCCAAGACTAGAGTCGTAAAGAAAAGAAGAAAAAAAAACGAATAAATAGACGTTCCTGAACGCCCACATCTTTTTCTGCGGTTCCTCAAAGCCGCCTTAAAGCCCGGCTTGGAACTCCGAGTCACGGCCAAGCGTCTTGCCTAAAGGGTAAACTACGCCGCAGATGAGGCCGCGAAGTGCCTGGCGGCCCTCTCGGAGCCAGCGACGATTGGATTGTGTGGCTGTTTGTGGGTGGCGGCGGCGGGTGGAGAGCGAGGAGGAGAGCACACGGGGAGACTTAAATCCAACTGATCGGTGCTGGGGCGGTTACACGGGATTTTTTTTTTCCTCCCCGGGAACCCATTCTGCAGGAGAACGCGCGTCCCGGTCCTGGCTGCTGCTGCTGCTGCTGCTGCTGCTGCTGCTGCAAGCCTCCACAACTTGCCCGAGCGGGAAGCGGGGAGAGCGAGCAGGCCCCACCGCCACTGACCAGGCCGTGCGGGGGAGCTAGGCACCGCTCTCGCCGTTCCCGCGTGACGGTGGCCCGGCCCCCCGGGTCCCGGTGGTCCGGCTGCGTGGCTCCGGGTCGGCTCTCTTGCCCGCGTGGGCCAGCTGGAGGCAGCATCCTCTTCCCTTGCCAGATCCACGCTGAGCGCGACAGCCTGGGCCCCCGGCGCGGCGCTCGGCCTTCGCCCGGGTCTGGGACGGTCTGAGCTGCGCGGCGCCGGCTGCCTGCCGCGGTTGGCCGGCCCGGGTGGAGACCCAGCAGCCCGCCGCCTCGCAGCCCCCCGCGGCTAACTGTAGGTGGCGGCGGCGCGCTGCCCGGCCCCGCGGAGGGTCGGCCGGCCTCGCGGCCGTCAGGGCTCGGCGTTCGCCTGGCAGGCTCACTTGGCCCCGCACGCCTTGGAAGGGTTCTTACCCTAGCTGGGTCCCCGGAGGCCCCCCGCAGGCCTCTCGCCCGGGAGGAAGAAAGGTCCTTAGCTGATCCCAGAGAGGCGTCCCGGATCCCGCCGAAGAGGGGACACGGGGCGGCAGCAACAAAAGACGCCTCCCCCGCACAGCCTTCAAGCGCCAGCCGCGTGTGGCTGCCGGGAGAGGCTCCGCGAGGGGTTGACCACAGCCCGCCGGGGTGAACCGCAGTAGGAGTGACCCGCCCCCAGCCGATTCGGCTGTCACTGTCACTGTGGACTCCCTGGGAATTCCTCTGGGACCTCCGCGGGGTCCCGCTCCGCTGCTGGTCTCCGTAAACTGTCTCGGTTAACGAAAAAGAAAAAAAAAAATCTCGCAGAAATCCCTTTGGCGAGAGGAAACTTTCTGACACGGCGCTGTCACTTCGTGAGGAAAGCACCCTCTTGTTTTCTAGGCCAGGCCAAGAGGCTGCGCCCCCTGACCCCACCTACCCCCTCCTCATCGCCGCCTGCCCTCATGTAGGCTGGGTCCCACCCTAGAACAAACTGGGCACATAGTAGGGGTCAGAAGGGTTTGCTACGAGCTGAGAATACGAAAAGGAATCTGCCCCGTTCGTCTCAGTTCAGGGTCTCTGCAGAGAGACCAACTAGGGGCACCTCCCCTCCCCACTCTACCGCTTACCAAAATCCAGAAGGTTTCCTTGAACCTGTAACCAAGATCACGGGTTAGAGCCCGCCTTTCTAGCCACTGAGCCAAAGGCTTCTGACTTCGGGTTTGTACTTAGAAGAAGCCGTCGCCTGTAATTGCTCCTTTCAAGTGACGGGACTGGGAGGCGGGCAAGGGGGGTAAACCTTGAAATTTCCAACTTCAGACGAAATGCTGAAACTGAGGCCCAGGGACAGGAACGGAGAGAGAATGGTTGTTTCTAAATTCTGCTCTCTCTACCAGCCTGAGAGCAAACGTAGCCCAAACCAGAACCGAGATTTGGCGTTCCCTGAACGGGCGCTGACATTCCGAGTGGCGCGACCAGCAGCAACCAAGCGGCGCAACCCTCCGCCCTGGCTCGGCCGCTCTCCTCGTCCAGGGCACACCAAGGTTTGCTCGAGGCCTGGCTTCCTGTGGAAGTTTAAGGATGTCCCTCCCGTTGGGAAGGAAGGTGTCCCGCACAGCCACGTGACGGGACACCGAAGCTCCCAATTCCTCGTTCTCCCCCTGCCTCCGAAATCACCACCCCAGGGAAACCTCAGGCCTTCTGTCCACCCGTCTCAGGGAGACGCGTTGGAGCGTCTCCACGTTGGAGCGTCTCCACCAGCCAAGCTCCTAATGCCCTGCCTATTGTCCCGGGTCCCTCTAAACCAAGGTTCCGGGGTGCAAAGAGCAATGCGTGCCTCCCCGAACCGAGTGCGCGTGCCGGGCCGATCCGCCGGACGCGCCTAATAAAACCCAAGACCAGGTCGGCGTTTGAAGCGAGCGCCCCGGCTGTTCTTTCTGCCGGTTTCCACCCACGACCCCCTGAGCGCCTGTTTCTCCAGATGAGAGGGAGTCGAGGGCAACGATGCTCCAAAACTGGAGAGGAGAGTGGCTAGCACACGGGCAAACCGGGAGGGGGGCGTGAACAGACTGCGGGGTGAAGGGAGAGGGGAGAGGTGTGCGAGAGAGGACGCGGCTGGGAGGCAGCTGCCCCCTGCTGTGGGTCTCCGACCTCGCGGAAGGCCACCGCGCTCGGCCTGCGCTCCCCGGACGAACCGGCGAGTGGGCAGTGACTGCGGAGGGTCGGGGTGCCCGGTGGAGCTGGAGAGGGGGCGGGGACGAGAACCCGTCCCCTCTCGCCCCCTCTGCAGCGAGAGACTGGGCGGCGGAGGCGGCGGCGTCCCTCAGCCTCGGTCATGTGATAGTCTCGAAGCGCGAGCTGCAGGGGTCTCGGCGTCTCGGGGACCATTACAAAACGCAGGCGGGAGAGCGCGCCGCCGCCACAGCAGCGCGTCCCCTCCGAACCCGCGGGGCACAGCCGCCGCAGCGGCAGCGGCGCAGACGGCCGAGCGAGCGGGCGAGCGGGCGAGCGGGCGGCCCGGGCCCGAGCCCGTCCCCGCCGACGCCCCCCCGCGGCCCGCGGCCAGCCCCGGCCGGCAGCGCGCCCTCCCCTCCGCCGAGCCTGCCGGCCCCACCGCGCCTCCGAACTTCTCCCCGCCGCCCTCGGACCCAGAAGCGGCAGAGGCCAGGAGGAAGCCCGCCCCACCGCCCCTCGCTCCGCAGCCGCAGCCTGCCCGTCCGAGCGAGCCACGAGAGAGCGAGGTAACGCTGGCGAGCCTCCCCGGCGGCGGCGCGGGCCCGCGGACGGCCGTCGCGACCCAGAGCCGCGAGCACCGTCGAGCATCTTTGGTCCAGGAGGCCCCTCGCGGGGACGCGGGGCCGCTCCCCGCGGAGGAGGCGTGAGCCGAGAGGACCGGGCAGCCGGGCCGCCCCGGGGGGCGAGGGAGCCAGCGGGGACCCCCCGCGGGCCGGAGCGGGAGATGCCGCGGCCGGGGAAGAGCTCCTACAGCGACCAGAAGCCGCCCTACTCGTACATCTCGCTGACCGCCATGGCCATCCAGCACTCGGCCGAGAAGATGCTGCCGCTGAGCGACATCTACAAGTTCATCATGGAGCGCTTCCCCTACTACCGCGAGCACACGCAGCGCTGGCAGAACAGCCTGCGCCACAACCTCTCCTTCAACGACTGCTTCATCAAGATCCCCAGGCGGCCCGACCAGCCGGGCAAGGGCAGCTTCTGGGCGCTGCACCCGGACTGCGGGGACATGTTCGAGAACGGCAGCTTCCTGCGGCGCCGCAAGCGCTTCAAGGTGGCGCGCGCCGAGCACGCTCACCTGCACGCGGGCGGCGCCAAGGGCGCGGGGCCGGGGGGCCCGCTGCCCCCGCACCACGCCGGGCACCCGGGCCACCCCCACCCCCACCACCACCACCACCACCACCACCACCCCCACCCCCACCACGCCGGGCACCACCACCACCACCACCCCCCGCCGCCGCCGCCGCCCCACGTGGGACCCTACTTCCAGCCGCCGCCGCCGCCGCCGC